GCCACATGGCACACTTGACCTTGAAATTATAATGCCTAAGCTCATATAATTATTTTACAAACTTTGCTGAAAAAGTTTAAAATTATCAAATCCAACAATTACATCGTGCAAGGCGCTTTAAATTAATTTATTAGAATTGGAAATTCTCTCTCACTATTTTGGGGACAAGAATGTTGCAAAGTTATTATTGATTTTCTGTTCTTTGTTCTACTAAAATCCAAATGTAATCATAAAAAAATGCCAAAATTATCAAAGCTATTTTTATTGGTTTTATGAAATTTACAATTGAAAAATGTTGGTTTTAGATTTATTTCATAGTTTTTGAGCAGCTTTCGGTTTCAAACTAAGGAAAAAGTCCTCATTTTCCTTATTGTAGAAAAATGTTTTCTTTTCATAAAACCAAGCATGAAGTTGTAACATGAACTAAGCTGCCATTTTTACTTTCTCAAGTTGAGATAATATTGAAGACAAACCTAGAACCATTGATAGGCAAAAGAAGGAAAAAAAAGAAAAAGAAGAAAAAAATAAAATAAAATCAGATTTCCCTAAGGAAAGCTTCATACATATCAGAAACCTAAAAATGAAAACTCTTACTACATGTGGTCAAACAAATTTATACGGTTAAAAAGGTAAAGAGATAAGAAAAACACCTATCGTTTCCTATTATTGTTTTTCTTTAACTAGTTTTTTCTGCTTGCTGGTAATGTTTCGTTTTTGCTCTTTTTATTATTATTATTTTTGGGTTTTTACCTTGCTTCGTTTATGCTATTCCTTTCTCTTTTTTTATCTTTTATAGTTTTAGTTCTTGCTATTCACGTCTACTTCTATCTTCTTTTAGTATTTTGCTTCACCCCACGTCTAATTTTTCTTTTCCTCCCTTTTGGTTTCTTTTCTTTTTCTTTTGTTTATTTTTAGTTTGTTTTCCTACCACTGAATGCTTGCTACCTTCACAAGTTCATTCTTTATTTGCCTTTTTCTTTGCGTTTTTCTGCTACCTCTCTGCTATATTTTTTTTGGGTTTTTCTGCTACTGACTTTTGTTTTTCTGTTCAGTTTTTTCCTCCTTCACGTTTCAGTTTCTCCTCATCTTATTGGTATTTCTTTTTCTTTGCTTTACGACCTACATGCCCTCATTCTCTGTTGTTTTTTTTATTTTTTTTCTTGCTCGTTTTCCTTTTGACCTTCTGTTGTCAATTTTTTTTTTATTTTCACACTCTTTCTCAACAGTTAGCAACCTTTCCATTTTTGGTTTCCAGTTTTTTTTTCCTCCCATGTTGCCCAAGCCATTCCTTCTTTTTTTAGTTTTTCCCTTCATATCATGCCTTCATTTCATTCCATGCATTGTTTTTTCATTTTTTTAACACGTGAGGTGGCCAATTCTTACGAGGCCTAACTACATCTTATGGTCCATTCGGGCCTTTTGTTTTTTTGTTTTAGACTATATCTCTTTCTGGGTGGTGGGCCTTTTTAATTTTGATCTTGGATTCTTTTTTTTTTTTGGATTTTCAAAATTTTATTAGTTTTTGGGCCAAGCTCTCTTTTATTATATTTTTTATGTGTATATTTTTTAAAATATTTTAAAATATTATTTTTATATGTTTTTATTTTTATATTGTTTATTTATTTTATCACTATTATTTTTTTTTTCGTTTAATGGTCAATAATGGGTTATTAATGAGTTTTTAAAAAGAAAGTCTTTTACCAAGCCTTTTATCAGATCATTTTGAGCATTCATTCAAGCTTATGTAATGGACCTCACTATGGGATGCACATTGGGCCTTGCATCGAAGTATTTAAAATGGATCATATAATGGGCTCAAAAAGTGATGATCAAGACTCAATTATAAAAATAAATCTAGATTAAAAAAATAAAATATCTCAAACAAAAGTGTCTACATTCTCTTCAAGTGGTGAAGCACTTTTGAGTGAACTAAAACCTTCACGTGCTAAACCATTTAATCCGTTTGAAATGAAAAATTTCACATCTTTTATTTCCAATAAGGAATGCCAGTTTTCAATAGACTCCCTAAGTCACATTTGTTTAAATATTTTATTCTTTTTGACTAGGAAATTTAATTATGTGAGGTAATTTTATTGACCATTTTAAAAAATTTTAAATAACTAGTCATGTATTTTTATATAAGGTGAGGAAATCATGTTTAATGTAAAAGAAAATTATTGAATTGTGAGAATCTTTAGATCAGTTCGGATTCAAGCAGGAAAAATGTTTTTCCTTGAAGAATTAAGAAAAGAAAAAATATTTTTAGGAAGAATATAGTGGCTTTTTTTTTTTTTTTTGCAATCAAGTCTAAAACGCATGTTGCATGTTATATGTTAAAACTGAAAATAAAAAGGAAAGCATGTTGAAATTGAAAGGAAAATCAAAAGAGCTCGGTAGAAATTAGTAAAAAAAAAACAAAATGAAATAGATGAAGGAATAAGAGAATGGTAAGTTGAGATACTTTTAGGAAAAAGTTGTATATTTAATTGGATGAGCAACAGAAAATAAGCAGAATTGAGAAAGAGGAGTATTTTTAGTGTCTGCATCTACGTCAGGGCACATACATCATGAAGTTCTTGCATTTGCATGGACATTGAAATTTTTGAAATGAAATTTTGTAGTTGCAGGAAACATTTGCATCATTAGGATAAGTATTTATATTTCTAGAGGCATTTGCATTATTGCATGTACATTTTGAAAAGAACATTTGCATTTACCAAGGGACACTTGCATATGTATCATGGTAGAGAGAGTTGGCATTCCACATCATAATGGTTTATCATTTATAAGTGTCATTCAGGCTGGTGATTAAACCAACTAAAAAGAGGCCCTATCATAGCACGATCAGTTAACGCCACTTGACTCAAACAACTCTTAAACTCTTTCATTTCTGGACTAGCTACTTGAGTGCCATTATAGTCTGAAGTCTCAGTAGGATGTCTAATAACATTGAAGTCTTCAGCTAATATCCAAGAGCAATATGAAATAATTCCATTGAAGGTAGACAAGTGCGACCATAATCTTCTTTTTTGAATGTCATCATTGCTTGCATATATGTTTGGGAAATACAATTTCTTAGATTCAACCAGAACTTTAACCAGTACTTTACTAATGATGCACTGGTCTGTGATTTCTAGCAGATCAACCTGTACATGAGCTCTCCAAATCACCTAGATCCTTCCATTATTAACTTCTAAAGAATTATCAGCGACACCAAATCCATTAAAGTGCTTGTCAAGAATCGGCTGCATCTTATGTCTTTTAACTCTAGTCTCTATTAGGCTCACAATATCTACGTTTAGCCTTTTTTTCTATCTACTACTTCCTTTTGCTTTTGAGGATCATTAAATCCTCTAGTATTCCATACTAATATTTTCATGAAGAAGAGCAAAAAGTTTGACTACTTGAGGCTACAGTACCTGCCTTAACCTGTTTCTTCCCTTTATCGAGAACCCCTTTTATTTTTCAAACTTTCATCAAATCTGCTACTCCTGCTGCTGCTGCCCTCTGCTTCTTTGGCGAATGAAGAATCAGGTCCTCTACCTTCTGATCCTTTACTTCCTTTTCTACCCTGTCCATATCTGTAATTGATTCTAGAATGGCAAATTTATTTTGTGAGCAGGCTTTAGCAGTAGTAGGGTGGTAAGCCTTACTTCCAATGCTAGCAGGTTGTACTTCCTCCTCTGCCTTCATTACCTCCTGGACTGGGGCACTAATCTTGTCCTCTCTCTTCTTAGGTACCCGTAGTTTTCCAACTTCCTGAACAGGTTTCTTTGGGCAGCATTTATCAGCATGTCCAAAAATGCAACATTGATGACACCTCTGAGGCATCCATTGCACTTGCATTGAGATTGATACAAGAGATCCATCCCTTAATTCCACATCAATAAATCGTGGAACTTTCAGGCTAGCCTTCATTTCAATGTAACTTTGGCACAAGCCAATCTCTGTTGGCTCGCTGTTATAGTGTCCATGTAACTAGCAATATGGCTCAATCCCCTCTTTGTATAAAGCTCTAGAGGAATGTTGCCCAAATGAACCCAAACAGGTAGTTTTTCCATATTAAACTTCAGAGATTTCATGCTAGGTTCCCACTTTCATACGATCAATAGTTTATTCTGTATATGCCATGGCCCATGCTCCAATACCCAATCCTTAGCTTCAGCATTCAAGAACTGAATCACAAACAAATTTATTCTAGCTGGTTTTATCTCAATTAAACTATCTTTTCCCCAAAGTGTATTTACCATCTTCTACTGAAATTGGAATTCGTCCAATAAACTGAGCTATAGCCATTGAAGGATCCATTCCTCAAATACTTCAGTGGGTGGTTTACCAGTTACTCGTCCTTCTTTCTTCAATGGTGGAAAGTACCAAAGCTTAATTGGTTGAAGCAGAGAATAATTGTCCCTAGTCCATTGATGATTTCTTACTTACCTAATCATCAGAATTAATTTCATCTCCTTTTCTACACACCCATCTCTTCTTTGATTTAAATCTGTCATGAAGGTATCATTAGGTTTCAATTGAGATCTCCCAATTTCCAGAAACCAGTGGGAGTTTTCAATAGATTCATTTCATGATCCAACAATCTCCCAATCAATTAAAAATTGATAATCAATCAAGAAAAACAAAGATTGCAAGTGGAATACAATCAATGTTAATGCAATTTTGCTAATTTTTGGCAAGAATTTGAGTGAAAACATCAAAATCCTTAGCACAAGAAAGTTTTACTAACTTGAGCTGGGAGCATTTTCTAACGTGCGCCTTCCCCTGAATATGTAGATATTTGCTCCGCTAATACCGTAATGCATTTTTTTTTTGACAGGTTGTACTAGATAAATTGGATTAAACTATCAAACCTTACTTTTTTTTATTATTATTATTTCGGAAGAATGCACCTTTTTTTATTAAGAAATGAAAAAAATTAATAATTAATTGGCTATTGGCAATTGCGATTGGGAGACGCATGAGATGACATTGCAGCTTATATGCTCAAGTGTCTACCAGCGTTTGCAAGCCGACTGCCCCTAGCATTCGTCAGAGCAGTGAACGGTGTCAAGTTTGAAAATGAGCATGACTTGGTTCTCTAAATAAGCAACTGCCCTCTAGCATTGCTTTTGGTGAGAGGGGAAAACAACGACAATGTTACGCGCCAGAAAAGCCCGTACTCCATTTTCAACCCATTTCGACCTCCTTCGAAAAAGACCCTTTTCCAGCACTATCAAAGACAGCAACAATAACAAGAACAAAAACAAAGACAACGTTGATGGGAAGATTGAATCAAATGTGAGCACTTGCAATGAGTCATATCGTCAGCTTGACAATCTCGATTTCATGACTGCTGCTAAGATCCTCTTCACTCAGCCTCCAAAGAAGAAGAAATTTGGGTATTACTTTTATTTTCTCCAACTTTATTTCTTGGATTCTTTAAATGGGTTTGATTTTTTTTTTTAACAATGGTTTTTGGGACTTTTTTAACCGATTCTTGGTTTGAGTTGTCTTTGGCATTTCTTCGAACATGTTTTCTCCTTCAGCTTTTGCTTCCTTTCTTATGAAAATTGATGCTTAAAATGGTTACTTTCTGTTTAAGCATTGGTTGCTTTATTAATTTAGTGCTAAACATACAACAACCATGAATTTCTACTAGAATAGAATACTTTTATGTTCATGGTTATGAAAACAAGTCATTATACAATTGATTGTGATGAGGAAACTGATAAGACAGACAACTTCCTTAGCAAGCAGAATAGGTGATATTATTTGAACCTTTTTATCCTCCTCCACTCCACATTTAGTGTAAGATATTCTGGTTTTTTGTTGAGTTGGTTCACATGTGAGAAAGAATCCCACATCACTAAGGTATGCATTGGAAAGCTGGCATATATATGGAGGACCTGAAATTCTAATAGCTTAAGCTTTTGGACTCAAATGTTGTCCGACATGTATGTATGAGCTCTTTTTGTGTGCTCCCTTAGGCTCCAAGTGTGGCTTATCTCCTCTATCATTGTCATTAAAAATTCAATGGGTTTGATTTCGATTTGGATTCCTTTATACCTTAATAAATCTTCCATTCACTTGGACATGATAGAGCGTCTGAAATTTTAATCTGCTATTCCCTTTATATATTAGACATTGCTTATAAAGTTTTCAAATTCAGCCTATTTTTAATCTGAGAGGATGGGATCTTTTAAAACAATTTCTATGAAGTGAAAGCATCTGCTTATCTCATAATTGGTACTTTAGTTAACTTCTTGGCATCTTTCTGCAGTTGTTGGTGTTTATTCTTACGTGTCTTAAATGCTCTTTCAGGATAGATTTCCATCTGGTACAGCTTTTCTTTGCCTGCATGCCTTCCTTGGGTACCTAAACTTACAAGTTTAACGTCTACACATTTTTTATTAGAATATCTGTTGGTTTACCGCTGGGCATCTAAAATAACCATTTTTATGTAACAGCTGTGTACTTGGTAGCACAATATGCACACTATGAAATGAGGAAAATGGAAGCGGTAACTAAAATATTTTCTTTTTTACTTATGTTAATTTCTGCTTTGAATATGTTTTCATGGTTATTTCATCCTCACTGTGTCAATTGCTATCTGTGAACTCACTTTCTTTAACCTACGACTGTTTCATTCACCTCAGGAGCTAGAGGAGAGAAAGAAGCAAGAAGAAGAAGCAAAAAGGAAGCAAGAAGAAGAGAAAAAGAAGCAAGAAGAAGAGGAGAAAGCTAATGAGACAGAACAAATTGCAACTGATTCAGAGCTTTTGGAGGTAAAAGTGAGACTAGGTAAATTAGAGGAGGCAGTAAAGGAAATTGTTGTTGAATCAAAGAAACAATCAGCAGGCAGCATAACCAAAAGTCAGCAAAATGTTAGTGAACTAGGTAAAGACAAAAGCACATCAGAGTCCAGCAGTTCCATGGAGCAAGACAAGGTTACTAAACAAAAATCCAAAACAGCATGCCGCGATCGAGGTAAAGTGGTTTCTGATGCTTTCCAAAAGGATCAGAAGGGTGAGAACCAGATTGGAGGACCTTCTCAAGATGCCAAAAGATGATGAAAGAGCTTTTCTTGTATAAGAACATAACTTTCATTGAATTGTTACGAGATTTGTTTTTTTAGCTGAAACAAACATTGCCCAATGATATTATGGGTGTTTGCCTCATCGCATTGGCAGAGATGACAAAGACAGGTTAACAGTTTGCATTGCTTGCAAGGGATGTAGATATGTGTAAATTGCATACTTCTCTCACCATAAGAAATCCCAGCTTCTGATAGGTAAGAAATATTTTATCACAAAGCTCTTCTGCTCCCCATCAGGGCCACTTATTTGAAAGTAGAACGTTTAAGCCATATTGCATGTTTTATTCTAATTTCTTCAAAAGTTTTTTTTGATTCAAACAATGAATTGGACACACTGTTTTCTGCGTCGTTCCTCTGATCCCTTTTATCTTTGTCTAGTGAAAACTGGGCACGTAAAACCTACAGTTCCATACACGCATATTACGGGAAAAAAAGAAGAGTTAGAAGTATTAAATATTAATAGATGTAATTATGTGTATTCTCCTGCAGAATAGCCAAAATCAGAGTCTCCTGGAGATTGTAAGATGAGTGGTTGCAGAGTAAGGCTGAGTGAGAATGTGCTTCTCTTGCCCCCTCTGTCCGTGCCTGCAAATGTATAAGGTTAGAGCACGAGGCTTTACTGTGTAGAAGCATGAGGATGTGAAGTTCAAAGGAGATCATGGTGTATTGGTTTATGTTCAAGTGCATATATTAGAGGCAGGGGAACGTTTAACATTGTACGACTTTAACTTTGATTTATTTATTGGTATAGCTTGTGAATATTTTTTTCTCATCATCCTGAAAGTGTGAGAGATTATTATTATTATTATTATTATTATTTTTTTTTTGTATTTCTTTTAGAAAAAATCAACCTTTAATTTTTATTTTGGTAAAATTCAAGTAAAAAGAAGAAAATATTTCTATTTGATCAAACTTACTAAAACAGTTTTGATGAAAAAAAATGTCGAGACAGAATGGAAAAAAATCTTAATTCCAAAACAGAGAATCATGAAAAAACGTTTTTGTGTTTTTGCCAAGATGAGAAAATTCTTTCTCTATCCCATATATTTATCTTTTAGTTTATTTGGGTAACTAGAAAAAAAATAAAAATAAAAAAGAAAAGCAATGCTTATTTGTCAAGATGTGATAGGTTCTGAACCCACAGTAAAACAATCCTTAAACCTCAGCCTCCACCGCTTAAACCCTAAAAAGAAAAATCCGTCCCTAAAGAAGAATCAGTGCTCAGCCTCAACCACTTAAACCCTAGCAAAAAATCCATCACTAATATAAGCAGCAGCAGTGCTCCATCATCAATGGCGTGGCTAATCCGACCCTTGAGAAAAACCCTTACTTCTCCTAGTCTTAAAGCACTACTTCCTCTTCATCAACACCCAAAACCCACCTCCCTTTTCACCTCCAGAAACTACATCTCCGACATGCGGAAGTCTGCATTTCAAGCCAACATTTTGAGACTCCTTCGTAAAGAAATTCAGTACGAGCACGAACGATGCCCTCCCAAACAGGTATTGTATTTGCTTTCTGTAAAAGAAAAAAAAAGAGTCTTGGATTAAAAATGGTCCATTACTTAATTTTGGTCTTGTTTCTTATTAAAAATTGTGCTTGGAAATTCAATAAACTTGATATTGAAAATGGGTTTGTCTTTCTATTAAAAGAAATTCCTGTAAAAGGTGGTTACTTTTAATTACCATTTTTTGTTGTATTACGTCTTAAAAATATTAATTTCTAAGAATATATCGAATAGGCTCTTAATCTGATTTCATTTGGAATTAAAATGTCATAGTTTGTTGAATTAAGAGCAAAAAATAGTTCACCAAAGAATTTACTTTTTGAGACCCTATTGAATTGCTTGGTTGTTGAAAGTATATAAATGATTGGATAATAATGGCTATGCTGTTTTCCACCTGAATGTTATAGTTCAGGAAAGCTGAACTAAATAACTCTTTCTCATTCTGAATTCCTACCGCTAAATTGCAGCCTGTCACCAGATTCAATTCTTTTACAATTGATGACCGAGCAGGAGAGCAATGGATTAGATTGAGAAGAAAATTTGGGGAGAAAGAAGATATTACAATTGAAGCAACATTGTTTGACGGGTCCCTTCCTGTTTCTAATCCTGGTAAAGTAGGGGATGATGTGCAGCTTCATATAACATTTATTGTCAATATCTCCAAAGGGGATGATAGTAATGTCTTGGAGATCATGTGTTCGGCTTGGCCAGATGCCTTAGAGATCCAAAAACTTTTTGTTCGTGGTAATAATAGGACACCAGATCAACCTTACTTTGGTCCCCAGTTCAAGTATGTTATTTTCTTTGTTTGCTTTATTTGCTTCATTAGATTGCTGAGAATCAACAGGAAAATAAGACTTAGTTTGTTTTAAAATTATTACGGTTGATTCAACAAAGTACCTTGCACAATCCTAATATGATTCAATCCTTTGCTTCATTTAGTTTGTTCAGGTTCCCCCTCCACCCCTGCCCCCCCCCCCCCCCCCCCACCAACACACCTTTTTTTTTTTTTTTAAGTTAAATCTTTAGATTATCAGGCATATGGCTAATAATCATCTTTCCTTTTGCATTGTTTCTCAGCATTTAGTGGACTTGTGTGTTATTGTCTTGTTTCTCACTTTCTCTGATGATGTCTTCATTGTGATTTAGGTTATCTAACTGCAAATTTGACCGGTCATTACAGGGAATTGGATGATGAACTGCAGGACTCACTTTATGAATTCTTGGAGGAAAGGAGTGTAAATGATGAACTCGCAGTTTTTTTGCATGAATACATGAAGATCAAAGATAAAACTGAGTTCATTAAATGGTTGGAAACTGTCAAATCTTATATTGGGAAGAAATAGAGATATGTTTTGCAGTGCTCATGCTGACTTCTTTCTGTTTTAGTTAACAAAAACATTGGTTGCTATTCCGATTTGCTTATAAATATTATGCCTACCTGCCTAGACTACTAGAGATTGCGTGTAAAGTTTTGATTGGAGTTGAAATTAGCTTCCTGTAATTCCAATGATGCTATCTGGTGAATATATTACAAAATATCAGGTCAAGTTTATAAAAGTAGTGGAAAGATGGTGGCCATTAGTTGTTGGTGTCATTTTCAAGTAGGATGAAATTACAGGTATAAGTTTTGATATTACAAGCATGAAATTAAAGATGCTCGATAAATCATGTAATTTTTGTTTATGTTCATATAGCAAGTGAGCCTGGATTTTTCAGCTTGATTTAGGTTTGGTTTTGTGAGTGCAACAAAGCTATACTTTGAATATTCTAATACTTGATTTGAGTTTAATCGGTATCTGATAACAATTATCCTAGGTGATTATAGGCCTAAGCTTATTTGCCACATTAGCCTGTACTGACATTAAGTATTCCTTTAGCATATGGACCAAGGTTGAATTTATCTCTGCTCATGCTAAGAGGATGGCCTAAAATTCAATGTATAGTTTCTGCTGTCCGTACATTCTCACAATGGAACAAGAAAGCTGTAATCTTTTCGACTGTACTTGGGATGTTGTTGGAACAGGGGAAAGGAGGCATTATTTCTAGAATGATTCACCACAAAAACAATTCCATCTTCAGGTTCTTCGGCATGTAATACTTCCCAGGGTGACCAAGCTCAGGAGCAGCCCATTCGAAGTACTTTCCAATCAGCATCATCATTCAACAACAATAATGAATAACCTATCAGCAAGTTATAATTTCAGAATCTGCTATCCATAACTTTGGTTGCAAGGTCCAATATTTGCCTCCTCGATGGGCATTGCACCGATTTACGGCTAGGTCAGCATTACTAATATAATTATTATACAAATAGTTAACTTTTAGGATAATCTTTCACTTGTATTCATATATGTACAATATATAATGGAGAATTATATCAATAGAAATCCTTTTTCCTTTGGATTGTTTTTAATTTTAAAATTTGATTCCAACACACCTACGACACTACCTTTAATGAAGGCAGGTGAGACATTAGGTCAAGACCAGTGTTACTATAAAAGCTACCAAGCATAAGTGTTGACCTCATGATCCTTATACCAAGAATATAAAGGCAAAAATGATAATATCACAAATTATTTTTGAATTATAGAAAATATTGAATGTAACATCTGAATTTAAAAAATTTTTAAAGTAATATTTGAATAATGAATATATTAAATAATTTGAAGTTTAAAAAATTATTTGTTAATTACGTGTTATCATTTAAAATTAATAATATTAAAATTAAATATTATATTAATTAATATTTTTATAATTAAAATGTTATATTAAAAATTTTAAAATTTACATATAACATTAAATAGTTTACTATAAAAAACGTTTGGTTGGCGGAATCAAATATTAATCCAAACTAAAATACTAAAAGGCCCAAACCCGGTAAAAACTTGCAAGATCTTGAGAAGGAAGACTTCTTAACTTCTTGCTTGAAATTTTCACCTAATCTCAGCAAATTGCTAGCTCCGCGTTTTTCGTGCATCACTTTCATTTTTAAAGTGTTTCTTAATTGAGAGGCAAATCAAAGGTTGCCAGTTTTTTAATGGTAGAAACAACAAGGATAAAGCCAGTCCAACACAAGAATTGACAGTCCATCTGATTTCTGCCACTCGGTTTGGGAAATGAGAACTTTCAATTTTCAAAGGTTGAAGACTTGAAATTGAACCTCCCACTGTCACTTTATCCAATCACATGCTAATGTGAGGTTTTCCATGATAATTGAACTGCCTTAACAGTGAGATTTTCTGTTACTTTACAATTTGATTCTGCGAAAATCATGTTTTGTAGAATAATAATGATTAACATGATCTAAATTGTACCCATCAAATTGATCCGGACCCACTTTTAATTAGACCCCATTCAGTAAGACCACTTGGGTAAGAAATCCAGGCAAATGAGATTTTACCCATAATTTAATATTGGGAAATGATGTGAGTGCATAGCTGAGGGTCACCATTTTGCCTTGCTTTTTTTCACATGGCTACACCCGCTATCCCATCTTTCATATTTGTTTTATTTTTTTTTTTTCTTTCTTTTCTCTAACCCAAATTTGATCTGAAGTCTAATCTCTCCAATAGAGATAGTCTATTTCTTCAACTGCAAGTGGGTCAAAAAATGTTGTCATTTGAGACAAATCACAACCATCCAATTTGTATACGCTTAGTGGACCATATGTGTTACACATAATAACAATCTGAAGTGACAACCAAAAGTAATCCCACACTTAATTTTTGTACTCGATGTTTGGACCATGTTTCCTAAAAAAATCAAAGACTTGATGGCGGATTGCATATTTCAATTTTCAATTATGGATGTGAACTTTTTTCTTCCTCTTCACTGTTTAATCTATTTGATTAAATGTCACGCTACCGAAATTATATGGATAATAGTACCAAGTGATAAAAAATTTTTGGATTTTAGTTCTTCATGCACTATAAATCAGAAACTCAAAACCTAGTTCAAATCCTAGTGTGAAAAGCAATCTTTAATGGCCGAAGTCCCTTTGACATTTAGCCTTCAAAACGAATACGACTACGATTATGTCCATTAAAGTGTATATATTTACTTGTTAACGAAGAACCATCAATATTGAAATAAATTGGATAAAAAAACTTAGTAAAATAAATTTAAATTTTAATTCATTTAATTTATATAATTACTTTTAAAAAGTGATATCTAATTTTGATATTTACATAAAAGAAAAAGAAAACTTAGTGAAATGGATTTGGCCAGCAGCAGTAAAGGCTACTTTGAAGTTCACACTAAGTTGTAGAATTGGGAAAGTTATTCCAACTTTACAATTCCAAATAGCAAATCTCTTGAAGTCTTCAGTCATCAAAATGCACTTACAAAAGATCCAACCAAAACTCAAAGGAAAAAGAAAAACTGTAGCAAAACAAGAAAAAATTAAGCAGAAATATTATGTCATTCAAGAAGAAAAGTAGATTACTTAGAGCTTCAAAGACAAGTCAAGCTTCAACTCATCCTGCTTAGTGTTGAAATGGTTAACACTATCCCACCAATATCCACGCATCCCCTCAGTGGATGGACCAAACTTTCGTACAATACTTTCGAATCTAGCGGCACCATTACTTGCTGATGATCCACCATTAATCCCCACATGAAAATTCTCCATTGAAAGATGTCCGGTTGCCGGTTTTTGATCGATAGGCCGTCTGGACCATCCATTATGCCCATAAATATGTGGTGGTGGAAGAAAAGATGGCTTGTTGATCATAGAGTGGACTTGAATTCCTAGTGATTTATTGGAAGAACCATACAAAGGAAGGGAAGCCATGCTAGAATATCGACTAGGATGTGTATTAGGGTGACCGAAAGCTACAACAGAGGTTGCACCAATCTTCTGCCCTCGTTTTGCTAGTGTTCTTTCTCGCTTATGTGCATTTTGGTGCCCCCCTAGAGCCTGTGAGCTATAGAATTTTCTTCGGCAATAGTTACATGAAAATACTCTAGGCTCAGTTTCATTACCTTGAGGAGTTTCCAAAGAATCTTGATCATCAGATGAATCAGTGATCTTGAAACAGTCGATGAGATCAAGTTCTGGCTTCAACTCTTGATTCGAATCCGAATCATCTTTACTGGAGAGGCTCAGATCCAGTACAAGATCATAGTTCACATCTTCCTGGTGTACATGGTCTTCCTCTTCTGGTTGCTTTCCTCCTTTCTGGCTATCCATTGAGGTTCTCAGGCTTGCAGCAGGGCCATTTGATACTGAGATGATGCTTGACGTTTCAGAGAGAGATGGCTCTGATGATTTTGGAGGCTCCATGTTTGTTTTGAGAGGTGACTATGATGTTTGAGAATTTACTCCTCGTTTGTTTGACGAGGAAGGAACGTTTAATAGAAAGAGAGATGAAATGTTGATGTATATATGGCAGTGAATGCATCTAGCGATCCAAAGCAGGAATTTATAAACGTACAACAGTTTTATAGTTACAAGGTCTTAATATTGTGAGACTTGGAGAGAGAAGAGAGAAAGGAGAGACAATAAACGAAAAAAGAAAGAAACACGGAAGAGGGGATACAGCGATGTGTGTTGTATCTTCTAATTATTATTATGTATAAGAGTTTGTTTATTTTAGGATAAATACGTATAAAATATGAAAATTATTATATTTCGCATTGATACATTAAATATAAAATGTATTTATTATTTTTATAAAATAAATATAAATTTTTATTAAAATTTTAAATCATGACACTTTTATATTTTATTTATCATTTTTTATTTTTAAAATTATCAAGTTTAGCTTTATCATTTTGATTTAAACTTAAGAGGAACCACCATGTTCATGTACTTCTTTTTTCTTGCAAATACCCAATAACGTAAGTGTAATGTGTTTGCTACTTTTTTCTTATCTTCCCACTCACGTACATTTCTTCTTTGAGATTTAGCTCTGTGGATTGTGAATATAATAAAAGAGTTTATATTTGATGTATTATTGTGCAAAGATTTTATGTCAATGAATAATAAAATATCACTTCATTAATAAATTAATATAAATTTTTACAAATAATTCAAATAAATATATAAAAATTTAATTTTTTATGAGATATTATAATTTATTGATAATATATAAAATCTATTAATTAAAAGTAAATCAATTATAACTTCCAACAAAAAAAAGTCCAAGATAAAAAGCAGCTAGCAGGAGCAAGGGCTGCTTTTATGGGATTCCAAAATTATATAGGTCTAGCAAGAATGGACTTATACTAGAACATGTGGTTTTCTAGCCCCAGGTTGGCTTTTTGACCAGTTGATTTTCATCTTCAAAAATCTTCACACCTTTTTTCTTCCTGTCCTTTGGCTTCTCATGCATCACAGTTATCCATTAAAGGAACGGTCTCTTGTCCAATTCATCTGATCAAATTTTATTAATGAGAGTTACTATACATCCGCACATAGAAACTCAATATACTTACTGAGGGACTTTGGAATATTTAAGGCATTGAGCAAGTTTTTTGACATAACTTTAGACTTTTTGTTATAGAAGTTGGGAACAATAGCTTCATCTTTATAATTTTAACAAAAATTAAACTTGAAATTTAATTCAGTTGCTTCATTAACTACAATTAAAAGATAGTATTTATCAGATTTAAGTTTCAAATTCCAACATCTGTAACATCTTCCATTATTTTTAGTCTATGGCCTCCTATTGTATACCAAAAGATTTCTTAATGAAAATCTCTCTTCCCTCTCATGTATAGTTATCAGGGCATGCAAAAAACATTATTTGATGCACCTGAGCTGGAGAAAAGTAAAAAACTATGACTAGTCGACAGATTGTATGGCCAATAATGAGAAACAAAAATGAAGTGCAAATCAGCTGTTGAATGTTGATTGAACTTGGGATATTTTCAGCAAAAAATGGGGTCGTTTATAAGCATTCTTACAGCTAAATGTCTTAAGGTGAACAGTTACAATTGCTCAATAATGATGCACCTAATGTACCAAAAAAAAAAAGCAACTTTTGTTATTAATTTATAAGTGCTAGCTACCTTATTATCTTAGGGTCTCATTTCAGAGTACTATATTATATTCCCCTATATGAAACCTTGAATTGTTTCCCTCCATATGCTAATAAGATTAGTTATTAGTATACTAATACATAATCAATCAATATGATCAACGTTAAAGCAGATTCGGATCTAACTAATGACAAATTTTATGTATTATTAATAATAACAACAACAATAATAAAATGTTTAAATACCTAATATGGTACTATACTTGGAGTGATCCTCGACAAGTGTGGTCATTAGGCTTATTGACATATATCCAATATTTTTTTGGAATCTACATGGATGATAATTGGGGGCAGCCGATATTAATTTAAAATGAATATTTTTTGATGGTTTACTAATAAACAAAGAAACCCTAAGTGATTAGAATCCAATTAGTTGCTAGAAAATTGAAACCCCATTGGTTATTTAGACCACTATTAGGAAGAATTGTTGTTAAAGTTCTTTCCCATGCTGAGGAAAAGAAAAGCTGGAAGTCTCTATCATATTTTTGGATGCTGACTCGAATTTTATCACTTTATTATTACATGATCTTATTTATAGGTACTGCCTGTTGGAACCAATAAGCCAAAGGCTCGGGACAAGGCTGAGTCAAAGAAGCCCAGGGAGAGCAGTTCTGGTTGGTTTTAAGAATGTCACTTGTATGTCACATGTCCTCTTAAGAAAGTCACTTGCGCACCACTTATCCTGACTGAATACACCACTTATCTTAATTAAGCAGACATGCTCTAAACTTTACCCATGTCATGCACAGGATTTATAAAAGCCTTCAGGTAAGACGCTGGAAGGTAAAATCATCTCCATTCTAAGCATTTCAAGCTAATTTCCAGCTTATTTGGGTATCGGGGTGCTGCCCGAAATTCTAATTCCGATGCTTCTTTTATCTTTCTTTCTTCTTTATCAGGTCAGACATGCCCTTCAATCAAGCCACGTGCAGCCTCCACTTTACTGACCCACCAAACACTGGAAACTCTGTTGAAATTTTGGTTGATGATAGATAATCGGTGAATATATTTTTTTCCTCAGTGAAGTGGCATAAAATTGTAAACTTTGATAAAGTACCTGAAGTTGACATTACAACTTGAGTGAGAGCTCAGAAATTTTTTCAGGAATTCTGCATTGACATGTATGTAATTTATCATTCAATAAATAAATAAACATTTCAGTTTCATGTTATGGCAGTGAATGGTCAACTTTTCTTTTTAGTTAAAAAAGTTCATCCTACATCTTCAAGTATAGCTACTTGTCACAATTAATTAATTGAATCCTTTTAATATTTTGTAATTAGCTTAATTTGAAGGTTTTTTTTTTTTTTAAATTACAAATATAAGAAAAGTTGAACTTGCATTAAATTATTATATTCATATATAATGAATCACTGAATAATTAATTAACAAATTAAAATATAATTAAATAATCAAATTCACTTATAGTAAATCTTAAGCCTAAGGTAAAATCTCATAATTTTAAAATTTCTCCTTTATTACTAAATTAAAGCTTCATTAGCAATTTGAAATTATTTCTAAATACAAATTAGTTTAGCTACGCAAATTTTTTTTTTCAATCAAAATAAATTTTGTTAAAAACCCAAAGAAGATAAAGTTAGCACAAGACTAACAATGGCAAAGAGTTGAAACACAGTTCTATTACAAGTATACAGAAATTTAGATCATAACCAACTTCTAAAATCACCTCAAAACCAACATTCAAAACTCAAAACCTAAGAGATTGGACAAATCTAGTAAATAAATAATTAATCTTAAATCCACCGAAATCAATAAAATGAGAAGTTTCCAATAAAACAAAAGACCATGCCTTCTATGCCACCTTGGCTTCAGGCATATTTTCTTAAATCAAATTTGTAAAGATCACAATTAAAAATCAAGGACTTTTTTTTATTTATAACAGAGACAGCAACTTGAAATAAAAAAAAATATTAAAATTTGAATTTTTAAATACGTTGGATATCATTTAAGTAATTATTAAAATCAACTAAATTAAATTTTAAATTTCTTTATCTTTTTTTCCCACTAACAACGGGGGACTGTATTGTTAACGCACGTGAACATTAATAGCATGATAACCTACATGATTTAGATGATATGAATGATTGAATTAGAAATGTTAGGTAAGGTTGCAACATTTGAAAAGATGGCAAGAATGAAAGTTTCTCCTGCAATCACATCATTTATATATATACTCGCCAAGTAAAACTGTAAGACTATATATTTCTAATCATCTATATATTCTATAATACTACAAAAAATGATAGTTTTACTACTTCCAAGCGAACTTTCTCCAAGGAAATATCCTATTGTCTCTCCCAATTTTCTTAGAGAATAATCATTTGATCCTAGTGATAGATAAGTAAGAAGTATCTTTTAAGTTTTATTACACTTATCTATTCTTCTTCCTAGTTTTTCCTATTGTTTTCCCCTTTGCTCTTTTTCATGAGAAAAGAAAGTGACAGGAAAAGGGTCGACACTAGTGTCGGCATCACAGAATTAATTGGCGAATAAGATAGATGAAAGAAAAAAAAACCTGGAAATTCTACTAATCTTAACTGTTGTAATAAAAAAAAAAAAAAAAGCACCCAAAGCCATCCAATTCGAAATGTTACTTTCTTCACATATAGATTTGAACCTTGATGGGGAAAAAGTGACGAGTCACATCAGTTGTTTAGCATTAGGTTGAAGTGCAATTAAGTTACTTCCTTTTTGGTTGTTTTAATTGCAATATATATCAACATTAAATATATATTTGCTTTTATTAAAGATGGCTTTCAATATTAAAGACCAAATAGATTGCATACCATTAAGAGATACTTACTCAAGCCATAAAGAATTTATTACTTCAATTCAAATATGTTGAGAAGTTATAATAAAATAATTTTCATGAATTTATTAAATTATAAATCTCCTTGAATCAACTCAAAAAAAAAAAAAAATACAAAACAAATCCCAAAAACCCTTGTCACTTAAAAAAAAAGAGAGCACACCTTTTCTTCTGAAGGTCTCATCTGCTGGTACACACTGATGGTAATTAATTATAAACCCTAGCTCGCTAGGTGTAATCTTTTACTGGAAAAACACTTAAAGTAAGAAACTTGAAGTAGAAGAAACTAACCCCCTAAATTTAGAAAAACATAAGATGTATCCTTAATGAAAGAAATAGTAAATAATGAGTTATATTTAGTAAATTGTCAATTAGAAATGTTCATGAGCTGGAATAGTCCGAGCCAAACCTAATTGATACCTATAAAAATTTGTCTAAAATTATGCTTAAGCTGTTATTAAAATTTGTTTAGATCCATATATTCGTATTAAAATATTAAAAATTGTCTATGTTAAGATTAATTTAATATTTTTAAAAATATTATTAAAATTCAAGTTTAGTAAAAAATTATTAATCACAAAATACTTTGAACCAAATCCAAATCTGAAAAA